CGGAGCCCGCAGCGGCTGGCGGCCGGGCTGCCCGGGCGGTGGGGCCGGCGGTGAAGTCGTTTTCAGACTGCCAAGGCGATTACCCGAACCCTCCTGACCGCAGGGAGCTGGTAATTGCCAGCCCCTTTCGCTGTTGGAGGGAGTAGTCGGCTAACCGGTACGCGCGTCTGGTTGTTTTAAGTGAGCTGGAAGGGCCTCGAGGTGAGGACGGCTGAAGCCTTCCCTCGCTCGCGTCAAGAGAAGGGAAGGGTGCGCACTGTGGCGTCATGAGGAGTGGAAAAAACGTTCCTCCTGATTGGGTTGCCTAATCCTTGATAATTCCCTTTTTGGTAATTGCCGGTTACTAGCAGTGTTCAATAGCTACAGTTGGAGACAGCATGCAAATACAGCGAAACTGGCACTCGTTGAGCGAGGGCAACATGACAAAGGCTCTTGCCTGACTAATGAAATTTGATTGGTATCATCAGTCCTCTTTCTGAAGCTAAAAGTTGCATGCAGTTTGCGGTAGTTCTGGTTTGTGTGTGTCTCTACTGCTCCAAGAGACCGCCTTTACAGAACAAGTCCCTTTCAGTGAAATACTAAATTAGCGAAGGCATCGATTTTTTTCCATGTTTTCCCCTTCCTTTCACATTTGTGCAGGAAAAAATATCTTTGCTGCTGATTACTCTGCTTTTAACATGGTGTCTCTTCACTTTTTTGCAGCGTTGAAGGTCTTCATGCTATTGTAGTCTCAGACAGAGATGGTGTGCCTGTTATCAAAGGTAACTTCAGCTTCTCACTGCACTGCAACCGAATTCCTGATTGAACAGCAGGGGGTGGGAAAGTACAGCAGCAGCATCTTTGGTTATGCCTGATAGCTGAATATACAAAACTGGAGACTTAAATTAGACTTCTACCTCAAGTTCAATAGTTGATTATGTACCTCTTTAAATTTATCCCTTTGTCTGTGTCCTCAATAATTGTAGGCCACAGAAATTTTTCTCAGTGAAAAGGGCTGGAGTGCAGTAAGGTCCTTGTATCTTCAAGTCACTCACAGGCTGATTGATACAAAATGCTAGAGAAAGCTTATCAGGATTTTGTTGACTTGGCTGGTCTGCTCAGAAGCAATTGTACCCAACTTTTACACACATTGCACTTAGTTTGATTTTTGGTACTGTAGTTTCTATCATATCTCTGCAGCCCTTCTTTAATATGTTTTTACATTGTAAATACACTAATTTAATAATACAGGGGTTCAAGTACTGCAGATTTTTTTTTTTTTAATATCCCAAAGTATTTTAAATGTGTAGTGGAACTTGCACATCTTCACCTGTTTTCATTCAAGTGGTTATGTGCCAGTGATCATTTCAAAGGCTGGAATCGGTGCAAACGATGAGGGGTACAAAACCGAAGTGACATCAGCAGCACAGGCTGAGCATTGTAAGGGAAAAAACTTTTCTTAGGTATACTGGGAAGGACGCTGGTGTCCTGAGCACTGATCACGTACAGAACGTTAAATGAGGTACTACTCACAACGATTGTCCTGTACTCATTGCGGAAGCATTTAAGATGTGTTACGTGTTCCCCAGCAGCAGTTCTGCTTTTGGCACAGCACTAAGCTGGATAATGTGTTGCAATGCAGTGACAGATACCATGTAAAAATAAGAATCATCTTGTTTCCTTCCAGTTGCCAATGATAATGCTCCAGAACATGCACTGCGACCTGGCTTTCTGTCCACCTTTGCCCTTGCCACAGATCAGGGCAGTAAACTAGGGCTTTCTAAGAACAAGAGTATCATCTGCTATTACAATACCTACCAGGTGGGTAACCTCAGTATGGCCTGCTCTCGGTGACCTGAGCTGTTCCTGGACAAAGGAGAGGTGGTTTAAACTCTGCTAGATTTCCTGTTGGCTGCTGTTGAAGTATTTGTGGTTTATTTCTCACACTGTTTAAATTGCTAAGCTAAACTTTTGCACTATTTGTAAAGTTTCTCTTATCTTTCTCAAAACTGGTTTAAAGTGATTAATTTTTCTAAACAGGTGGTAGTTGGGAATTTGCAACAATTTGCTGCTCATATGGCCTTCAGAATCTGTTATGAAGGGTTTATGTTCTGTTTTACAAATAATATTTTTTTATAATCAGTGACACCTAAAGTTAAACAAGCACACGCAGCCTACTTCATAGCTGATTTTGCTGACAGTATGACTTTGATGTAAGAAAGCCTTGAAATACCACTCACATTTCTTACAAACTGGTTGTGTCCTGAAATCCCTCACCTATTAAGTTTCTGCTCCTTCCCGAGTTCCAGTAGTCTTGAGAACTTTTTATTATGACTGCAGTAAACTGGCCAGCTGTTTAGCCTACAGTATCCAGCTTTGTTGGGAAAATAAATGTGTGAATGCATTAGTTTACGCATGTTGAGTACATCACTTTCATTCTCTTGAATAGCTTGTTCCCTGTTAATGGAAGAAGAGATACTGCTGTACACAGAATGGTATTTTAAAACAAAAAACATTCCTGCCCTCTTGTTACCCATGGAGAGTGTGGTCTCCATAGTGTACTCTGCAGTGTTTGCAGCTGGGTTAGATTTCTGGTGGCTAATGCTGCAAAACACGGGAGGGAGGGAGGGAGAGAAAGGCCAGGCTTTCCACGTGCAGCTCCCTGTACTGTGGTGTAAGTTCTGTTGGTGTTTTTAACCATGAATCTTATGAAATAGATGCACTGAAATGTCAGCTCTGTGGCTCTTGCTCCTGCTTGTCCTGTAAACTGAGGAGGCTGCTTGGTTCAGAAAGACTTTATGTGGCAGAGCTCTGGCATCCAGTATGGTTTAACTGCTGGCTGAACACTGTTCTCTCTCCTTGCAGGTGGTGCAGTTCAATCGCTTACCTTTGGTAGTGAGTTTCATTGCTAGCAGCAATGCAAATACTGGTATGTCTTCACACAAATTTTAAAGGTTGCAGTATTTTAAGGTCCGGATGGTTAAATAATTGAGAGTAAAATACACAAATTTACTTCAAGGTATATTAACTTTGCTCCTACTTTGAATTTTGCTAGTGTATTGTCAAGGGGAGAAGGGAAAGGTGTGAGTAAAAACTTACAGATTTTTAGGTAACTTGAAGTTACTCTGTTAGAAGCACACTTCTCCTGTGATAGACCTTACCCTTGCTATGTGAGAGCATTCACTGCACCGGCAGAGATTGTACTGTCCAAACCGTCATTTTCAAGTTATATTCTGCAGTAACACGTGCAGCTTCATCTTCTCACTTCTGTGGGGTGGGGAAATCCTTTGGCAGGGCACCTGGCCTTGCTTGTGAGGGTGTTGGCTAATGAGGGAATTTAACTCCCACACAGCTGCTTGGGCCTAGGTAGCTGTGGGAAGTGCAAGGTGACAGTGGAGGTGAGCTGCAGTGTGGGGCAGAGCTGTGCTCCTGGGGGTGCTGCCACTGCTCCCGTGGAGAGTGAGCAGCTCAAGTGAAACCCAATGTGTTTTGGGAAACGCTGCCTATGACTTGGGAGGGAGCTGCAGGGTTTGGAGAGAGGCTTCTCAGTTATGTCATTTGATGGGGTGTTCTGTCTCTCCTTTCTTTCCAGGGCTGATTGTAAGTTTAGAGAAGGAGCTCACGCCCCTGTTTGAAGAACTGAGGCAGGTTGTCGAAGTGTCTTAACCTGATGGTATAGCCGGAGTGCAGCATCCCTCTGCAGCCCAGTGGACAGAAAGATTCAATAATCCTCAGTCAAATAACATGTCTCAGAAGAAATACCACAGCTCCTTAGTATACTAAGTAAGAGTAAATTGTACATAGTACTGAATCTGAAACGATCTACTAGTGTGTTGTAGGTGGATGTTACTTTAGGCCATGCTTCTTGTATTGTGCATTACTGGAGAGACCACCAAAATAGCTCCCATGGAGTTCAGCTCAGCCTGCCTGAGCCAGATCGGCATCGTGCTGTCGGCTCAAGCGAGCAACCCACAGATCTCTTGCTTTACAGGGAACTGTGCACGGGGTGGGGTCTCTCCTCAGGCCAGCTACCACTGCCTGCTGGAAAGCAGGTCGGTTGTATAGTGCTATCAAAGATGTGGTTGAAAGAGTATTGTGAGAGCAATTTCACTAGCAGTGATGTATTGGTACAATCAGTCAACATCCCAGCCACCTTACCTGGGTGACACTTTGGCAAGGGAGTGCTACTAATCTGGATGCTCACTGCATCCTGCTGCCACTAAGAAGAAAGCAATTTCTATGAAAGCTGTTGCTTTAGGGGTTTTCCTGATGCCCAGATAAAAGCACCTGAACAATTTCTCACTTCTTCATGGGGTTTTTTTGTGTAACATGGTTGTGAAGATCTCATGTCTCATAGTCTTGGTGTGGGTTCATCACTGGTGACACTCTCAGCTCATTTACCCTTAGGTTTTCCTAAGTAAATAAATATAAATAAAATACAGTATTTTTAAATGACAGAGCCTGGTCCACTCTTCTGTTGCACTGTAATACTCCACAGCACATCGGCTTTTCTGTAGAGAGAACAGGTCTCTTAATTGTTTGTAAATGGACAAAATCCAGGAGTTTATAGACTGAAAACTAAGCAGTGTGTGTCCCAGCTGGGTGATAAAGATACTGAGCCCTGTGCCAGGGCAGGGATGCAGAAGTTTGTGCTGATGGGCTCCCTGTGGCTGGGGGTCAGTCCCTCGCTCTTTGCCCCACCTTGTTCCCTCCCTGCTGTGATGACTGCGGTGTGGACTTCCCACACTAAAACCCAGCACCGCTGGCCTAAGGAAGAACTCCTGACAACTCTGGGAAGGGGGTGCTGCTGCTCCCCCATTTATGCCTCCCCCAGCTTCAGCACCAGGCAGGATGGGGGGAGAGGATGGTGCTGGAGATGAGGACAGGGAAGTCTTGGCTTGGAACCTCTCTTGGGAGATTTAAAAGTTGTCAGTCAAGCCTTTTCTATTCAAACAGCTCCTGGCATAAGCATTCTGTTGCTGGTCACTACACAAGCAGCTGGAAAACAGCCCCAGGTGCGTCTGTGTATTTCTGGCCAAAACCATTTGTGTTCAGCCTCAGGCCTGCTCTTGCTGTTCACTTCTGTTCAACTCATCTGAGACTGCTCCCCAGGCCAGCTAAGCGCCTCTTCTTTTATTGGCTTCAGTTCATGGCACCATGTGCTGAACTCACTTCTAACATTTTGTAATGCAGCCTCTTTGTGTGAAAAAGGGAAGGCTGCTTCTGTGGTTACACTTCAGGCTTTATTTCCAGGCCCTTTTCACAGAGAAGTGATGCTGCTGGTGAGCAGCCTTTCTCTCATTCTTCCCCTTACACTGCTCCTCTCTCACAAACTCTTCAAAGCTTTTTAACTGAATGGGAGATGTCAGTTTGTGAAACTACTTCTTCAAGGGAAAAAGGAGGAAAAAGCTTTAACAGTACAGGAATACAGGAAACATTTGGTAGTTTTATAATGACATTTTATTCAGAAAACAGTCTGTATAAAAATATGTACAAATATTTTGATTTTTCAAAGTTGAAATAAAATGTTATTCCTATGTTCAAATCTACATTTTCTTCTTCCATTCTGTTTTTCCCCACCTCGTCCTCAGTCTTCTCCCAGTAAAGGCACCTATTGAACACTGACCTGCTGTGTGAGCAATACTAATCCCTGTGCTGCGGCATTTGCGTAGTGGTAGAGGTTTTGCATACACTGTTTCAGCAGAAACTTGACTGTTACGTGGGGAGATGGGGGTGCTCCCTCTTTCCCTTCCCCTGCAGGAGGAGCAGGATTGCTGGGGGGTCTTGCAGCTGGGTCAGCCATGAGGTCAGGCCAAGCTGGTCTTGGGACCCTCCAGTGTGTCAAACCTTACTTCAAAATGTCACCTCTATGTTGGCTACAGCACCAAGGTACTGGGCTTCCACTTCTCAACTCTGTAGCAAGCCACAGCACTGTTAAATGTGTATGAGTCTTCCAAAATACAGATGGACATTTACATCAGGTTATGTAGAAAATGTATTCTTTCAAATTCATATTTTTAGTGTACATGATGCTTTTTGATACAAAGCAAGCAACCCTTAATTCTAAACACAGTTCTGGACAAAACCTCGTTTTGAGTTCTCTGCGTGAGGAAGAAAAAAAATATCATAAAACCAGCCCATTTTCAAGGGGAACTAACTGTACAGGCCCAACATGTGCTACCCACGATGCTGGAGGCTGCCCCAGGCAAGGCTTTCTGCAGAGCCCCGTCACCCACCCACAGGGTCACATGGTGGCTCTGTCATATGCACCAGGAACCAGCTGCCTCTCTCACAATCCTACTTTAGAAACAAGCGTGCTTGCGTGCTGCTCACCATCACCTAGAGATGCCGTTTGAAACAAACGTTCACTTGTAGCCATCACTACAGTATAAATCTAAACTCTACAAAACCGTATTTGACCAGAACTAAGTGTTACTCATCCCATCACCTTGAAAAGGGCCTTGAAATATTCTCTGGGTTGTAATGTAGATACTATTTACAAAAATGTAATTACCTCTGTCATTTTTGTTTTGGTTTAGAGCCTAAACAGGTAATATGAAAGAAATATTTACCATTTCCAGACAGGAGTGGTTTTAAATAACAGGCTCAAGGTTACAGAATGTGCTGCTAATGGTTAGTTGTGATGGAGCTTGCAATAAATGAATTATCGAGAGTGCTCCAAATAACCACAGAAGTTTTAAACAGTGACTAACTACTGTGATTAGTTAACAGATGTCTGAATGAAGTGCATTAGAGGCATACACCATGTCTATCAAACCAACACTGATTTTGCAGCCCTCTCCACATGCGACTCAACAGCCTGAGAGCACTCAGCTGTACATATCCTTTGTGTGCAGAGCTGGATGCAAACGTCTGCATGTGGGTATACATGCACAGGTGTGCCCACTGTGAGTAATGGAGACGTGTGAAACCGTCCTCTTGTAAGAGATGCCTTCCCCTGGCAAAGAGGCGACCCCTGCCAATGGAGCAGAAGTACCGGAGGTGCAGCTAGGAACTGAGGGTGGAGTTGCGTTGCTCCAGTTGCTTCCGTATTTGCGACTAGAACAGAAAGACAACCCATTACTGTTTGCATGCATGTGGATGTGGGCAAGTACAACCAACCCAAATGCTGGTATTTCTAAGGAGGTAAATGCTTTCAAGCCTTTGCATTGTCTTCTCATTGCTTCCTTTGTAACCCAACACATGTGGTCTGTGCCAATGCTCCACATTTTTTACTATCTACACAATGACATCCTCAAGATGGAAGAAGTTTCTTCTTCCTAATGAGTAGGTGCATTAACAGCACATCCCAAACATGCTAAAGTGGGTTTGCAGGTATATACATTATGCAAAAAATTACATATTCCAGTCTAATTGACCTGGAAGCCAGAACAAGTACTCCCTTCTTGCAGATACTGAGAACTGTTGCACCTCGGTGCTGCAATGCTGTGGGTTTTGTGATGGCAGCACCAAGGGTACTGCTGCCTGAGGCGTACTGCCATTAACACGGCACATTAACTTACCAGTTTCCATCGCAGTATTTTAATCCACTCATCAGCTTCTATTCCAGTTTTCGCACACAGGTAGTATGTCCTTAGTGGGAACACTAAACTGTAAGTAAACAATTGAAACTACTTCTTTAATTGCTAGAACTGGTACTTCTTCCTAAAACTGAACCCAGATGGCTTCCACCAATGGTTGTTTAAACAGAGCAGGGCAGGGAGGCCATGCTCCCATTCAGTCACCAGGAGGGAGGTTAGGCAAGAACAGTTTACAGTTGTTTGCAGCTCTCAGGGAAGACGTTGTCCCAGACCCTTAAGGACAAAGACCCACATTTGGGCACAGAAGCAGTTCCTGTGTGACCTGTAGCAATGTCTGAACTGGACCATACCTAAGCTCCATGGGCCTAGGTGATGATTATACATGCTTACAGAATTAGGAAAAGAAATGCCCACTACACAGAGGCCTACACCCTTCCCCCTCAACAAGAAAAAACCCTCTAGCCAGTGGCAGTTTGGCAAAGCCATAAAGGACTGACAGAGGTTAGCTGACAGAAAGACTTGTGAGTTAGAGTAGCATCACAGCCAGCAGGGGAGCTTTCAGAAGCACCCAGTGGTTACATTTCAGACTTTCCTGGCTATTCTGACCTTCCCAGCAAGATGGAGAAAGAACAGCAACTTACCAGAAACAATTGACTCTTTCCTGGGAATAGTCAAATTGCACAGCAGAGCATTCAGTTAAGTCCAGTGCCCTAATTGGTTCTGTGGCCTTGAAAATAAAATGGATTTAAAATGGGAACATGTGAAAAAAGAAGACTAACTTGGTTCATCTTCAGTGTATCTAGCCTTTTACAGGCACACTAGGTTTTTCCAGGTATAAGTACAATCAATACCTGTAACACCATAAACCCAAACTAGCAAGCATAACATCAGTGCTAACATGAATATAAAAAAACAGGTCAGTTCAGATCCAGAAAGACAGAGGAGATTTCTACTGCAGGAAAGTTTGAGCTAGATGCAGACTGCTGAGGGTTTGGTTGATGCACTAGAACATAACTGACACAACAGCAAATCTAGTATCACTTCCAGCTAAGGCTTACTAAGACAAGGAGATGGTTATAGGTCTTATCAGGCCTAGCCAGCTGTTGGAGATTTAATTAATTCCTAAGTGCTTTAAAAAAGATGAAGCTGGGTAGGGAGAAATGCAGAAGTAAAGTAGTACTTGTAGCAGAAGCAATGAGTCTGGCTGTGTGAGCATGTCTCAAGTTTCTTAGGACAGGCTCAGGTGTAGGGGAACAGACTGTGTGTAACTACAACCCATCTCCCTTAAGAGTTTCACTCTCTCTAGGTGTTGGAGCTCTTTCATTTGTTTCAGCCTCACACTGTGAAGCACCTCAGAAGAGAAAGATGAAGCAAAACAGCTTGTTCTCTGCCCAAACAGCCTTAGCTCTTCCCATGGTCCTTCATCAGGTGTACAGAAGTGTATGTTCTTTCTCACCTCTCCTTATGTTTTCCTCTAGCTCAGTGGGTGTTACATGCCATGCTAGAAGAAATCCCCTCCTGCTGAGGCGTGCTAGTGAATACTGCCCCAGGGCCAGCAGCATGTTGCTCACCTGTAGGTATCTGTGCCCCCACAGCAGCAAAGGGAGTGCCAGGAGATGACTGAGCTGCTGTCCAGGAGCAAACCATACTCCTGACAAAGACGCCTTCTCACCTGGTAAGTCATAAATGCTACTCAAATGTTTGGAGTGCTGCCCTTTGAAGTATTATCCTGGAAACTCCATTCATGTTGGCTTGAACTGAAATGAAAACTGATGGAAGGTCCCGTAAATGCACAACCATTTATAAATGGTAATGTTTGGTGAGAGAGGGCAGTTGTGTCTGCTATTGCATTAACATGCATTAAGATGTTTGAAATAGGGTTTGGCAGAGGTGAGGAAGTAAACAGGTTGGCTGTGTTTATGAAGGAACCTGAACTGGAGGTATTGTAAGGGTGAAGAAACTCTAGAGGTACTTCTTATTTTGACTCAGTTTAAGATAGAAATGGAAGAGCAACTGCAAGGACACAGTTTGTTCCAGATGCGGCAGGTTAAGCTGCCTCAGAGTGCTAGGAAGACATTTTAAAATGAATGGTCTGCTATGTATACTGTGTGACCACTGAAAACAAAAAGATGAAATCAAGGAATGCAAAATATACTACTAGTATTTGCAGAAATACTTTAATAGCACCTCTGTCTGTTAGGCTGTGTTGTAGTGGTAGCTTAAAATTCACTGAACAAAGCAACCAAAAAATGCACCGTAAACAACTCTATCTAGTAGTTAAGACTGACGGAGCACAGTAAATGTTTTCAGCTGCAAAACTTACTTTCTCTTGGTTGAAATCATCAGCAATTCTGACTTTATATGAAAGGTCTGACCCCTCTGACAGTATGGGAGGCTTTAGCTTGGGAAGCTGTGATATAGATACAAGAAGCCAGAAGTATGAAGAGGCTGCAGCTGCCTCTCTAGAGGTTTAAAGAGCAGAACTGGTGTTTGCTACTTACTGTCTGGTCTTTGAAATACTTAAGTTCATTCCTATGCAGTGTAAACCACCTTGTCTTCCAATTCTGAAAGATCAAGAACCAAAGGTAATTGTCTTGTGAGAATTTAGTGTAATGTTTCTTAGGAAAGCAAAACATTTAAAACTGTTGACTTGCTCTGGTTTACAGTTGTGCTTTGTTGTTGCTTAAAACACAAACTGTTCCTCTCTGCAGGGGAATGTAGGTGGAGCTGTTTCAGCTCCCCATTGTCTCTAGCTTCTGTGGGTGACTGCAGAGTGGAAGCAAGGAGTAAGTTTTCCTTACCTTGACTATTTTGCCTTGTTTTATCAAATATCCTTCTTTTGTACCAAGCTGCAAAGTAACAAGGAAAGAGATAGGGGTTAGACACTGAGCTCTGCTTCTATTTCCCACATCCCCCTCTTTGCCTACATCCAAAAGATGGAAGAGCAGCCTGTTCTTGTGGAAACTTACTGTGGCCACTTGCCCTGTCCTCACTCCTGTGCTCCCCTCACACAGCTGGATCCAGCACCAGGATAAACACGGACCTGTGCTGGCTCTAAAGGCAAACTCTTAGACTGTACCTCCCTCAGCAAGCTTCTGGCCTGTATCTTAACCAAACACAGCAAAATAGTTGCAGTTATGGTTTATTTAGTAAAGTTAGATGGTTGCCTCTGTGTATGTAACCAGAAGCACCTGACGGTAGAATTATCCACAGAAACTGTTCTTGAAATGCAAGTGGTGAAGAAAGTGTTGTTTTACTTTAGCATTCTCTCTCTGTCACATGCTTGAGAGAAAAAAACCTTCTACATTCAATAAGCTTATTGAAAAAACGTTTTTTGAACAGTTTCTCTGCCACCATGAGCGATGCTGGGACTTTATGACTTCTTCGATACTGAAACTCTGTGTAGGGACTTAGTTGTGAGACTGCAGACCACTGAAAACCAAATTCTTGCTAAGTTAATTACTACTTGCTCTTGAAAAAAATAATGCCTTTTTATTGGTTTTATGTGGAAGTCAAGTTTCTCTGAACGTTAAAGTGGAACTCAGCCATGAAGGGTTGATTGTGAGACAGCAGAAGTGGTTCTTTTATCAACTCAGTTAACCTGTATTAATGCTAACTCTTCCTCTTTCTCAAAAAAATATGGTATCTAATTAAAGTATTTTCCTCTCAATACAGAGCAATACTGTTCTGGAGAAACCACCTGTCTCACTTAGGTATGATTAACTAGGGATTTAAAGCCTCTAATTACTGTCCAAGTGAGTCACAGAGCAGGTGACCAAATGAATATGAAGATGTTATCTTGTTTCTCATACCAGTAAGGTACAGCTTTTAACATGACACAGCTTTTTACTGTGCTCAAAAATACTAGGGCTAAAAGGGTGGAGGCTCTTCTGTCATATTGCTCTATTTTGGGTTTAAGTCTGTCAGAATACAGCAAGCTGTCTTTCTGCTTTAGAACAGGGTGATTCTAAAATAATAAAATCCAAGTGTGAAAATGCCAAAAAATGCTTCTGAGTGATGTACCTATCAGATTATAGATACTCTTATTAACTAGGTTTTACAGCGCTTCAGGCTGGGGTTTCCTTTTCCAAATTCAGCCCTGCCTGTCTTGCACATCTTTGAATATTTTCTTCAAAAGGTCCCTTTTTAACCGACTTAGTCAGAGATGCTCTTTCCTTCCAGTTAGGAAGGAGGTTGTATATTGCCAACTGGGCAAAATAATTCTAACAAAGAAAGAAGACTGAAAAAATAAGTAGTTTATGTCTGCCAGGACTACTATCTGTTTCTTGTCATCTAACCCTCATATTCACTGAGTGAAACAAAATGCAGTAAATCCTGTAGCTGTTACTTGGGTTTGCTACTTCGTGTATTCCTCTCTTCACCTGTTGGGAGAAACAGAGGGAGAGACTTCTCACTGGCTGTAAAGGAATTTGGCCAAACAAGGGCTTACTGTGCAACCTGACACACGTATTGTTGCATACAGCCTGATCAGCGTTGTCAGAAAGATGTGAGAAGTGTTGTTTTTGTGTGGTGTGGCCTTTTTTGGTTTGTTTTTTTAATTCCTGATAATGTTCCTGCTAAAATGGCATTCTGAAAGGAAGATTACGGAAGAATGAAAACTTTTCATATATTCTTCGTTTGGATGGTCAGACTCACCTAGGCCAGCTGCAGACAATGTTTTCCCAGTGACAACATTGAAGGTCTCAGTGACAACTGTAAAAGGCTTTATTTGTCATGGGATTGTATTTAGCAAGTCTGTGTTTGTTTTGCCTTGGTTGGCAAAGGCTTCCTGTATTTACAAGCCCACAAAGGGAGGAATTACTGGTGTTATTCCACAGCTCACTCCAGCAATTATACTACACTCAGGCCAAGAGAAGCACCCCTTCCACCAGAACACAACTTACTGAGGGAGCATTTGGAACAAGATCACTTTCTGTCCTTCCTGTCTGCATCGCTGTGTGAACTCGGACAGACTCATAAATGGAAGGTTCTTCCACTTCCCGTGGGTAGGGATGCTTCAAGACAATTAAGGTTCCTGGAGAGAAAAAGAGGAGTCATTTCTAAGATGGTCTTAGAAAATAACTGGCAGTAGCTGCCAGTTTGTGGAATGGTTAACTTTACATTTTCGTAAAATTTAAGAGACATAAGAGCTAATAACCCCCCAAAATCTGTGTGACACTTCCTGTAAGGGGTTTTCCTTGGAAGGGGGCAGGACTCAGGCCACACCCACATGAGAAAACAATCAGATGCTATAAATGACTCTCCCATACCAGTAAAACTAGAGAAATATTTCTAACATGCATCATCTGAATAGTTTAGACTCTCTGAAGGGTATCTTCTACAGAAATCCACCCATGCAAACCACAGAGGGGCACCTGCCCAATGTTATTTCCTTGGCTCTGTCGTGTTGCTCAGACTCGTCAGTACCTAGATCCATTCCATCATCACTACAGTGGGAGTTGATTTGTTCTTGCATCTCTGAAGACAAAAATGAAAACCCTCTTTGTACTTCTAAGCAGTGGGAATTAAACTCCCCCTGCAATGCATGGTAAGTGGTGAAAAATTAAGACAGCAACAGAACAGGACCATCAGACAACCCTCAAAGGCAGGTGTCTCCTGTCCTGCTTGAATTTTTTTTTCCAGTCAGGGAGTAACTAGGTAATACAGAACAAACTGAAACACAGATTTCATAGTTACATCTGAAATGCTGACCTACGCTTTCACTGCACTCATGAAGAGATGCAGCTACAGACATTATCACACCTGTTTACACACAACTGTGAAAATTGTAAATATATGGTACCTTTTTAAAACCTTTACACTTACTAGTGCTTGCAGAGAATCACTTGATACGCTAAATTCCCTTCCTGCACAGTCTGGGTAAGTAGGCAGGATGCTAGACTAGATATGAGGCTGTAACGGTCATCCTGGTTTTGCCAACAACCCACTGCTTGCTGTGTAAACCACTTAATCTGTCAGAGCTTCGGATACAGACTTCCTAACAGTAAACCCACATTACCATTGCCTTTAACTGTTTTACCATAGCTACTTCCAATTAGTAACATTTTGATTATAGCTGTTCTTTGTTCTCCAAATAAGGTCATGTTTATTGCATGTTCTCTGCAAAAAGCTGCATTCTCAATAGTGAATCTATTACACTATTCACAAGAGTGAAGAACCTCCTTAAAATACTAACTGCTACACCACCTAAACTTATTCTTTAAAAATAACATCACAGCATACCAAATGCTGCTCCATTTGCATTTTATGCTGCTATTGTCAGCTCTTAAAGAGAAGGGATGCTAGAATTGGTAAGAACTTGAACTTGAAACCTACAGGTGACTGAGTAATTCAAAAGTGAAATAAAGTTTAAATTAAAGTTTAAATTAATATAAAGAGAAGGGCTACTAAAGGGAAGGGTTACATAATGTAAAGTATGTAATGGGAAGGGCTATAAAAGGAAGTGGAAAAACTGTATTTGAAGTAACCAACTGAAATCTGTTTGCAGGCCTAGGGGGTGTATGCAAATATATTCAACCTGCAGTAGATGAAAAGTCAAAATCAGTTTAATTCTCTCTGGCCTTGCGGGGAAAAAAAAAAAAAAAAAAAGCTTTATCATTTAAAATGAAATTGAGAACACGCCCATCACCAGTCTACAGAAACTACTCTTAAGCTGTTGTGCAGAATCAGAGTCCTATCATCTGTACACCATAGATAGAAAGCCCTGTTGCAGAATTGGGAGGACTAGTTTAACATTTTATAAAATATGGGGTTTTTTCCAAGTTCTCCATGGTTTTCCTTCATAAAAGACACTTGCACAGTTACCGGATGATTCTATTCAAAAAGAATCAGTAAAACCTGCATGTAGCAAGATTCTTCTTGCATGTTTGTGCATGATAGCTATTTCTAAGGGAGAATGACATATAGTCCCATTGTTGAAAATGTTGGCTTCAAGTGACCTTGGCTTTTTTGTCTGGGTAAGGACTTAACATTTTCATGTTTTCAAAATAATTTAGGTAAAAACTGATAAACCAAGTAAATGGGTAAGAATAACATCTTGATCTTGACACCTTGAATAAAGATAAAAATATAGAAGTCTGATAGGAGTGTATTGCTTAAACCTTGTTACTGAATAGATTCAGCTTGCCTGTTCAATAAATTATCTCACAGAACACAGTAACCCAAATTTCCCTTTAATTATCTGTACTTCAGAAGGAAGTGTACACATTACACTGCAGAAAAACAGATGTTGAGTCCATGTAGCAATTTGGAGGGGCAAATGAAGCCATAGTAAGACAAGGTTTGTTGGGCTTGAAGCACAAACCTGCAGCTGTCTAGGATGAAAGAACCACTGTTCTCCTTAGACCAGTTTGCAGTGCTGTAGGCCTCTGTGTTTAAAGTACTGATCAAAGAGAGTCTGGTGTGCCTCTTCAGACACAAAACCAACTCCAGTGAAACAAAACTTAAATGGAAGATAGTGGAAACTATTACATATTCTACCTCGTACATCCCTGTCTTATAAAATCCTGTCCATAAGCAAGGAGATGAAAAATGTTATCATGCTATCTTGCTTTACTCTCTCATTCCTGTTCTCACACTGTTTCTACAGAAAATTGTTTGCAAGTTGAACAAGGAATAAGAAAAACTGGCCCAACTACTTCCTACTAGTGCCTGAGCCAAAGGTCACTTGCTGCTTTTCACTGAAGGGACGTGTAGCCTAAGAAATCAGACTCTATTGCTAGCCCTTCTGCCAACCTGCTGTGTGACCCTGTGTTGGGCTGGTCATTCTGCCATGCTGATGCTTGGCTTTGAGTGGGCTCTGATGAGCCCCTACCCTGTCTTTGGTATAAATTGGTTACCACCCAGGAGACCTTTGACACCTGTATCTGAAGGAACACTGCCCCAGTGCTGTGTCTTCCTCTCTACTGCTATCCATGGTAAGGTAATGTGGAAGCTTTCTTGATGGGATGTTCAAATGGCTTTTCTTATTCTGTAGCACATCCAACTTAAAGAGGTTTCAACAGAGCCAGCAGAATCCGATTAGAGAGCTTTAAAGCAACGAGTGAGCCCATCATTCAACAGTGTTGACTCTGTCCACAGAGATCACATAACACCAATGCCCTGATTACTAATGTCTGTTAACATATGCAGTGAAGGAATGGAGAAATACAAGTTTTATGTCAACTGAAATCTTTACAGTGTTAGGCCTGTGGGTGCATATCAGATTTCACAGGAGAAACAGCTTATTGGCACAAAAGATACATGTAGGAACTCTGTGTCTGAAACACTCTTAAAAGCAACTTAAAAAGAGCATGCTTTGAAAGACACAAGTGCCATATTAAGTGTACCACTGCACTTGAGGGGGCAGGAAATTGCAAAGCAACCCTTGAATTTGATGCTTGTGTTATGAGAGCACTGGTGTATATTTAGCACGTGGCATATTACAGCTATTGCATGTGCCAACTATTATTTAACTGGTCACTTGCATATATAATTAATACTACTCTGAGTTATTTGCATACACTTTTTACACAGGATGCTGAAGTTTTTAGCACTAACTTATACTGACGCATCTTCAACTCTTAACATTTGAAGCTAAACCTAAAACTGACATTATCATGATAATCTGCATCTGTTTCTCCAGGGATTCTGGTCTGGTGGTGTTTAACTTGCTTGTAGGATTCAAGTTTAATCTTCTGACTCTTAACTCACGTAGCATATTGGCTGTTAAAGAAGTCTCTGCTTTTCTCTTTCATAAAAACAAGACAAATCATTGTGATGGCAGATGGCATCAGCAGGCTGATCCGCTGCAGACAGAAAGGGAGAGGTAATACAGGGCACATTCCCTACAGGAAAGAGGAACGTATCGCTGTAGACTTCTTCCTTGGATGAAGAATAGCAGAACTAAACAATTTCAAGCTCCTTTTCCATTTATTCTTAGGGGGGGGATTTCAACTTCATAAGTGAACATGTGTCTTCCCACTGAACACCCTGCTTTGGTTTTGCCCTTTTTGAGAAGGTTCTGTTCCTCCCAGTACATGCATATTTTGAAATGCTTCCTTCTCTCTCCAAGAAATCAAAAGGAGGCTATGTGCCCAGTTAGCAAAAGCCCAGTAAGCTTACATGTCTTCAGTGTACTTAAAAGAGTTTTTGAGGAGTAACATCTTAGATACTTGAGGTTAATACAGATGTGAATTTCTAAAAAGGAACATTTTGGCAGTAGATTTACCTGGTCACACATCAGAAGCTCCTTTTACTCAGAGCTGTGTGAAATATGACTACAAATCTGTTCATACAAACACATGGCTCTCCTTACCTGTTTCGCTTCCAATTAAAGGCTGATTTGCAAAATGCATGACTAATTCCTTCAAGCTAGAAAATTCATTAAATCCAAATTTGAATGAAGTTCCTGTATGTTCAATGTGGAAGTGTTTCACAGAATCTTTTCCCCTAAAATAAAAAGGAAAATTTGTCAAGGCACAAATGCCAAATCCATTTGGCATGTATGACTCAAATAGCAGCTTCCACTACAAGAATTCTGGCCCAGATTACAGGCTGAAAATCACTGTCCTAGCAGTAATACTGCTGCCATTATTGTCCCTCACTAATACTCAACATATCTGAGATTCAAATTTATTAAGAAAAATCTAATTGCTGCTTACAGATATGAGATGATGAAAGCCTAGAAAGGCCAAATCAAATTAATTCTTCTGGCAATCAGTAAAAAGACTTATAAATGAGGTTTTCAGCCTGCTGTCTAAGCAGGATGATACCCCTTCATGTACTAGGCTTTAGTCTTCACAGTGTACCTGTATTACTGTCTTACTTTCCAGGTAACATCCCAATCTCATTGAAAATGTCTTCTGTTTCTCTTTCAAAAATAGTCTGTCTCCTTTTTGCACCCAAACAGGGATTTAATAACCTAACTTTAGATACCTAAGGCTTTAGAATTTGTCTGCTTTATCCCTGTACTCAGGCGAATGGTTCCTTTATGGTGGGCACTGTCAAATATGAACCAGGGTCCTTTGTCAGGGAAGTAACAGCACTTGTTTATGAAAGCTGATGGTATATAGAGAAGTGTGCAAGGCCTCACTTCCTGGACGGGCAATTATTTTGACCTCAGAAGTTAGTGAAGCACTTAGTGTAAGTATCTCTCCTGTGAAAAAGTTACTTCTGTTAATGTTACTACCATCTAAAATAGTCCAGAGAAAACTCTGTCTCGGGAAAAAATGTATGTAGCCAATATACTGAAAATACAAAGAAAGGGACGTATAGCATCTTTTCTGTTGTTTATTGCCACTTCTGCAGGAGATTAATTTCAAACAGGTATTTAGACAAATATTTATCTTTGAACAGTACTCATGATATTGTAGAACATGCCTCTATTGACCTCCTGCATGTTTTGCACGACAGTCAGCTGAGACACAACATGTGCAAGCCAAGTGCAGGTGCCCTACAAGAGCATACAGCTGCTGTGACTCCATGCAATGACAGGGTTTACATCTTTCCATTTAATTTCACAAGAAATACAATGTTGCAATGAGAGCAACTTCTACTCTGTTTCCTAGTTCTTTTTAAAAGTTAGCTAATTTGGCTGGGGGAAGGGATTTCAGGCAGTACGTGATCTCTCAGAGCTGTCAATAGAAACCTCAAGGGATGTCTAAGCATTGTTCCCTTTTAAAACAAACTATATAATAATGACTGAAGTTCCTTGTGAGGGAGAGACAGAAAGTAAAGTAAAAGTTACAGAAGACATTTTAGGAGAGAAAGAAAATGACAGAATTGCTAAAATTATCCTTTCTACAAAAATGTATCAGAACAAAATGGAATTACTTATTAAAAAATAAGTTTTAATGTAAGTCAAAAAATGGAAAGGAAAACTTACAGTTAAACAGTACAAAAATATTAAAACATTTTTAAAATCAAAATCTGTGTTTCAAGGTTGCTGTACCACCAAAAAACTAATGTAAGAGAATAAAAGACCAAACTCCAGTCTGGGATATTCAGTTCACATGGCAATGCAGTAACTCTTGTTCCTACATGGAGAGCTGAACAAGGGATTGGAATTGGTCTGAAGCAGACTTTTCTATGTCTTCTAAGGATAGAATTTGTTAAAGCAGCAATTTTATTTTCATCAACGCTTTAGCTTTTGTCTCCTATTAAAAGAAGAGCTATTTAAATTTTATTTTATTTTGTTACAGTAAATTGTTTACTGAGTGCCTTTTAAAACTAGCCCCAAGATATAGGGGTGTTTTTTTAAATGTCTGAGGTAGATTACCTCAGATAGTGTTCAGTTACATTTTAAAGCAAAAAACTATTAACCAGCCAGACAATGATTCATTTAAAATTACTTTTTTAAAGGAAAGCTATTACTTATAAATGCTACTATTCTTTTTTCCCAAGGCTTGCACTCAATTCAGCGATTGCTACTCTGAATACTCATTTTGTAACATCACCTTCAGATCTGTCAGGCATCCTGCCAAGTTCCTTGAATAAATGGCTGTCTGTAGCAGTAATAATTTCAGCAGTGTATGTATAGGCACACTTGCTCCTGGGTCTTCTGTCAAAGATGAGTGAAGCAATTAATATTTGCCTTTTATACCTCTGGGGAACAGGGTATGTGCAATTGCACTTTCCTCAGTTTCTAAATGACTACACTTCCAAATTACAACAGTTGCTGGTACTGAATATGCAGAAAGTCACAATTTCAATGGCATATGCTGTGTTCCTATCTATGAAGGTTGTAAATAACTAGCATCACTATACTCAAAGTGACTTTAGCTTAAAAAGTTACTGCAATTCAGCTGAGCTGTAGCCACTAATTGGTCAGAGGTTCAGTTTGAGGCAGCAATGAGCTTGAGTACACTACCTTAAAATTTCACTGTAGAGGCTTAATGTATCATATCATTGCCAAAGGCTAAAAAATGTATTTAAGGTTGATTACCTCCACTCAGCTGACATGCAGGTACTACCTTGTGTGTCTAATGTGTACGTTTTCCATGTTGCCTCAAAAATACTGTGGCTTCTCTGCTCCTTGTGAGATTCTTTAAATGTGATTCAGTAGTGAAGTACCCAGAGGCCAGGCTACCTGTGCTCTGTATTGGCTGTGTCCTGAACTGATGTAAATTGCTATATATAATTCTGATGAATTCAAGGGCCTGACATCTGTCACTTGTGAAACATTCAAATCAGTCACGTGTTACTGGCTAAGACTGAGTTTTAGCCCAGAACAGAAGAGTAAAACCTTCCAGTCCACTGGACTGTTCCTCCAGATGATGGTTCCTATACAGTGATCCAGAAACTGGTGAAGTTATTAACTTGTATATTTACTGCTATCCTCATCATAAAACTTTTCTACTCTCATCCTGCTTCTTAAACTCCTATAACTGCCATACAGGTTTTTATTATGCAGACCAAAAATCTACAGCCAATCTATGGAATGATGTTTTTTTGCCAGTGAGATTAATTCATAGTTTGGAAAGATGAGACCAATTTTCAAATCCAATCCAACTATTTTTTTTCTTCTAACAAAATGGCATTCAGCAGGATTACCCACTAGGAATATATATTAAAATAGTTTGAGCCATAAGAAAAAATCTGCAGGTCATCTCAATGCATGAGACATGCAAACAAACATGGGAGTAAGTAAAGATTTTAAAACTGCTAGCAGTGTGGCATTAGATAAATTCACTTCTGTCCATACTCTACCTTACAGAGAGGGAGTACAAATCTTCCCTTTCATTACTCTTCCTTAAAAGATAGCTTCCATCCTGCCCGTTGGAAAGCAGCAGCGCCTCTGCTGCATGTCGGGTAAGGTTATCATGATACCACCTGGGAAGACACAAGGGGTTAAAGCATCATTCATTCAGCTCTTAACTTTGACAGCTGCTGCTGCCTTGTGGAGATGAGTTACAGAAAGAGGAAGGACTGACTAACACTGCTTTAATTTTGAGTTACCATCCTTCTGGCAGGCACACACAGGTGACAGAACTGTGCCCCTTTCAGCAGCCTCCTTTTGACAAGCACTATTTATTTTTTGTTAGCTACAAAAATTGTGTACAAGCAGCTGAGTTTACTGAATCATAAAAAAACCCTGCAAATTCTACTTGCATGTGCAACAAATTTACTCAGGTCTATGCTGGTAAGGTGAAAGCAATCTGGGGGGGCATGCAGGATCCTTTGTCTTTTTTCAGAATCTGCACTTCCTGATGTATCTACATGCTTGAGTACACTTCCTCTTTTGGGGTGAACAAACAACAATTAAACTGCTCCCAAACTCTGCATTTCTCACAACTTAGTTCATCTGCAGTTAAACACATTTGACTACACTTAAAATTCTCACTTGAAGCATAACCTTTTGGGAATGAGGAATAGAGGAAAGGTCCAAAATTAACTGACAGAATTTGAAGTGAAAATTTAGGAAATGTCACTGTTGCCTCTTGGCCATATGTGGTCTGAGCAATGCAGGAAAACATCTAAATGCCTTCTTCATTTAACATCAGTTAAAACTAACTTCATTAGGGTTTTTCATATGAAAAATTCCACAGAAAATAATCCTGCAAAAAAGATCATTAAATGTTTATGGCTTCATTTCCACCCAGAATGATTCACAACAGAAACACCTGATTTCTTTCAAAAGGATCTCATTAGAAATGATCCTGAAACCAAACACAAAAAAGAGCTGCAGCTATAAAAGGCTGGAATGCCAATCCTCTAAGAAATGCCATGTGCAGATAGATATTAATGATAGTTATACACACACACCAGAACCTCTGTGCAGAAGGAGGCGGGGATACTGTACCCTGGCCACAGTTCTGCAGGGAGCAAGCTTCTCCCTTTCTCTGTACGCATAGCGGTGCCAAGTCTCCTTCCCCTTCCTTTAAACTGTGTCTGCCTGCAGTATTGGGGTCAAAGTCTTTCAGCCAGAGAAATACAGTTTGACGGAAAGCAGAAGTGTGATCATAACACTTTCCGGCATTTGTATCATGGCCGTCTTCTGACTGAAATGCGTAATTGTATACTCTTTCTCCTTATCTGTTCATTGCAACTTGCCACTAAACTTGGCATCTCACACAAAGTTTTAACTCTGAATTTAGACAGCTGCCTATTTGAAAGGCCAGCTGGCTGATAAATTGCTTTGTAAGAGACTCCAGACTGTTAACCCTGTGGAAGACAAGATCCATGTGAAACTCAATACAGGCAAGGTATTGCTGCTTTGGCTCTAGAACGTGCTCTGTGGACCATCTACATAGTAGAATAAAATAATGAATATTTAAAGATCAAAGTGTCATCTTCTGAAACACCTGTTAGCCAAAATCCGCTTTGGGATTAACTGCCTAAGTAACAGTCAAAGGTCAGATCTGTCCCGATGTGATGAGGATCATATCAGCATGCACGCTTGGCCGGACCTCCAGCTGAGAAGATAACACTGTGTTTTGGGCAGAATTTCATAACACTGTTTCTCTCACTTTTGTGCAAATGAAACATTTTGAAAACCCGTTAAGTGATCATTTTCATAAAAGAGACATATTCAGTTAGTGGTTGCTCATAAGTACACTGTTACCTTATTTCTGAAAAGCTTTTTATTAAGATTTTAAAATAGAAGGAACTTAAGTTTAATAAATGTTGTGTTTAAATCTCTCTTTACACATAAAAGGCCAGTGACTAATGAAATTTTACCACTATGCAAAAGAAATCAACCAAAAACTACCCACTTGCTTTACAGAGCAGTTTTAAATCTTTGCTGACAAAGTTGCACCAGTCTTCTTGCCTAAATAAGCTCTCTCAGACAAAAATGTTACTGTGTTCCTACTACCCAGCTTAAAAAGTAGAAACAGATACAAGACAATACTAAAGATCTTGGTGCCAAAGAGACTGTTACACATAACTATTGTTTTTTTCTCCTCCTGACTGTCACAGATGGGTCAATCAGTAACAACTGTCAGGTTACCTGGATATTCCACTGTGAAAATGGTCACTCAAAATTTATTCCAATTGTAGGAACACGGTAAACCAGCAAATACTCTGCTCTCCCAATCAAGACTGCCTGATGACACAAGTAAACAGGACTAAAAAGAAAACAGTCCTTTGGTTAGACACTACTAGATACACTTCAGCTGAATTTAAGTATTTGTCAGAGGGGGAGCCCTTCTATTTATCTTATTTAGAAAAAAAGCTTTAAGGCAGTTTTTTGAAATTTGCAGGTAAATCAAGGTGGGAGATGTGGCTCATTCAGCAAGACACTATAAAGGGCAGTCACCTTTAGCTTAAGTTTTGGTTGTCTTCCAAGTGATACACGGGGAACGAAACTGTTGATAGAAAATGTAATACTTTACCTACCTTTTTACCTTCTTAAAACAAGAAATTAAGGAAATCAAAGGGCTTTACAAACACTCATCTGTTTGAAACCCCTAGAAAGTCCTTCAAAAAGCTGAATTGTCTTAACTCTTTCTTTCTGAACCATGGTGCATAAGTTGCATATTGGGCTGTTTCTGAAGGTCCTTCCAAAAGACATCTTTATTTGACCCAACTTACAGTGTCTTGTATTCACTACAAAAAAATCCAGAAACATGCCTTGTCCTTTGACACTTGTCAGACTAAAAATTGCTGCTAGTGTAGAAATAGCCTGGGTTCTTGATTCAGATTTCTCTGAATCAAGAAGATAAAGTCCTTCCCTGCTTCAGAGACACTTCTGCTGAGTGCCCTTGGCCTTCCAAGCCCTCCTGTCTCAAATGCATACATACTTCTGGGAGGTTTTTCTTTTCTAATTATTTCATTTCTCCTATAAAAGAATTCCACATGTTCCCCTTTTTGGGTTCCTTATTGCCAATCTGACTAGCAATCTCAGTTTCAGTTTATAATTGGTGTCATCTATCCATTCTTGTTACTTTAACCTTGTCCTAAATTACATTAAATCTCTTTATCCCATACATGTAAGCATGTTTGTGTTTCAGTGCATGTTGTGGAAGGACCATGCTATTCTTCCCCCTCTCTGGAGTGGAAGAGTCTGCTGGGCCCATGAAAGCATGTCTTCAGATAAGCACACAGGCCTCCACTACTGCAGAAGGTGCAACACTGCTCATGCTCCTCAGTGGGTGACTGTCCCTGTGGAAAGCACCTCAGCTGCCTGAGCTGCAGAAGCCCAGCAGAAATGCATCAGATCTAATTAATCTCTCATCCACCTCTGAAAGGGAACAGAGATCCACATTAGGGAGAGATGGTCCGGATGTGCTCTCAGTAGGATGTCAATATTATTCAGAGCAGTTACTTACACTGAGGGGTTTTGGGGTTTTTTGTGATGGTAGATCTTGGCAGGTTTTGCACCTTTTTTTGTATTAAAAATAAATCTTCTACCACAATTTTCTTACACTTTGAAATTATATGCTAGCTTCAAGGACGTATTCCCATTCTTAGTTTAAAGCAGTAGTACACTGTACTACTTGATGCAGTGAGTGGGGAAAGCACTGACTTAGCTCCTTTGGCTGGATGCAATGCTCTTCATGTGTCTGTACTCCGAAATGACTCTACAAAATAGCCTCAAAATAGCCTCTATTCTCTGCATGCTGGATTTCAGATCAGGTCTGTCTAGGTTTCGTTTTGGGTTTTGTAAAAAATTTTTTTTCCTAATATCAACACCTAGAAGCATCACCTATCATCTGAAAGTTGCGAAGGGCCCTCTCTACCTCATGTCAGTAAAAATTTTTTGGTAATGCTTTTAATGTCACATGAGTTGACAGAGCTCTAGAGAACATACAAAAGGGTGAGAATGCTAAGATAGAAGTTATAAATGGCATACAACCAAAATTGGTATTTATCAGACATCCTTTCAATGCATCCCACTGAAACACTTAATTACACACCTATGTAAAATACTTTTTTGGAATATAAGGGTGCCATTTCATAGGAAAAATAATTTAAAAATAGAAATACGAAGAAGTAACATCAGTGCATCCAGCCTTAAAGTTTGTCTTCTAACAGTAGGCTTTCACTACTTCAGCTTCTGCTTTTCACTTCCCTTTTCTCACACACTTCTCTCAACTGCCTTTGTTCAGATTTTCACCCATTTCTTTTGCCCGCTTTCTAGCTGTTGTAATTTTGCCCATCTTTACATCAGAAATACAGATAAAGTAAAAAAATTCTTACGACCATTTGCCTTGTCCCAGTCATTTGAGTTCCTCAATTTTCCAGTTTTATCATCATCTGATCTAGGCCTGTTGTCTAATTTCTCTTCTCTCACTAAAACTAAGCATGAAGGGTATAGTTCAGTCTTACCAAATACCATCTGTCATGGTATTGTCAAACCTGGAGCTGGAGGAACACAAAATCTGCGCTGCAAGGGATGACAAAGAACACTTGGACTGCAAAAGGAAAAGTGTTAGAAAAACTTGTTTTCTCTTGCCCCGTTCCCTTCACCTCTAAAAGACAAACAGTGTCACCAAAGCTATGCTATGCTGGGATGGAAGAAGTGTTACCAGACCAGCCTGTAATTACTCGGATGACGAGCTATTCCACATTCTCACCTCTTGCACAAATAACGTGAACTGCAGTGTGGAATTCCCCAAACTCACATTGTACGTGATCAGCTACAGGAGTTTCATACTGCAGGCTGTCCTTTTAGTGTAACAGCATTAAATGCAATTGGGAAAAGGGCTGACACCAGGAATAGCCAGAGTTCTTTAAAGAAGAATCACAATGTCAGTTTCCTTTTCCTTTAAGCCAAGATGCTTATGTCTCTTTTGGCAAACTTTAGGCATTCCATTTTAAATATTTTGTTGGATTTAGGGAAGAAGCTAATGAATGAGCTAACACTTTTTTAACTACATGCTCCGATTTGGTCTTCATTTTCATTCGGCATTAGAGTTCCACCTATAAACACCTTGACAATGAAGCTGACACTAATCTGAGTTTGCCCTTTGAACTCTTGATTGTTTGACCACCCAAACTCTCCAAATAAATGTAAGTCACCACTTCCCTCACACTGAATGAAATAGTTTAAATAAAAATAAAAAAGTATTTTTTATAAACACATCACTCTTGCTTTCTTTTGTTGTGATGTAAAAGGTCATAAAGACCATCTTCACAAGTACTGAGGCTCTGCAAAAAAAAAAAAAAAAAAAATTCCAACCCGATAAACAGCTGATCTAAATCTTTCAGTGAATGTGATAGTCCCTGATGATAACTGGGATCATTAAACGTTATTTCTTCATCTTTTTTTTTGGTGACAGATGGGATACCTCTAGAGCAGGGGTAAAATAAAGATGGGTTTTGTATATATTGATTTGTATTTTTTTCTCTCTCCCTCCAGCCTTGCTCTCACCAGCTTTAATATTCTCAGTGTAATTACAGGAGCATTAATCTAGAACGGTCCAGCAAATACCAGGTCCTCCAAACCTCGCAGAGAGTCAGAAAGGTTTTATGCTGTACACCCATCTGCACTGCTGTCAACTTTCCATTTTGATGACCAGCTGACCTAGTAAACTCTGAGGATATTGTGGTACCCTATCTCCTTTTTCTTGAAAGTAAAGTCCTTCTCATTTCACACTTCTTCAAACCTTCAACTTAAGTTTTGCACAGTAAAGCAGCTCTAAAATAACCTGCTTCGAATTCCCCCTCAAAGGTATGTGATGAGTTGCTCCTCATCTGAATGACCCTTGTCTTTGTTGGTCATTACTATGGCAATGACATATATTCCTCACCAGAACTGGGTCTCAGTTATGCTAGATACTACATTGGGTGTAAGGGGAACTCAGAACTGTGATATCACCAAGGACTAAGTTTAGGACATAGAAACCTTTGTAGTGGCTGATACCTTCATGTTATGTTCTGGAGAATGACACACCTACTTCTTACAGCTGAAAAAGTATTTAAGGTAAGAGATCTTTTAGATGATGCTACCAGAATCATACGGTAGCAATGGTTTGCTGTGCGAGGGCTTCTTTTTAGGGAAAAAAAAAAAAAAAGTAGCTTCAATACTACCTGAAAAAAAGG